TGAGCCACCACGCCCGGCCAAGCATTATTTATGAAGTATATACTGTACTTTTTTATGAAAAGAAAGTAATAAAATTCTAACTGCTCCTAAATTGTACATATTCCTTGGCAAAGCCCATCTATTTCCATAGAATAGGCAAAACTAAACCACAGCCCAGCATATAATTAATAAGCTACCCTGTAAATCAAATCTTCAAGTTTCTCCAGGTTTCTACTTACTATAAGAACTTTAAATTCTTAAAAATTGATGATACTCTGGCCTTCAAGAAAACCCAATTACATTACATAAGATCAAAAAACCCCAAAATTCCAAATTGGTACTTAAGATGTTACTCTATTGCAAAGATGAATTAAATGCTCATTTTTAGAAAATGAGAATAAATCTGTTCTGCCATCATACTGTATCACTAGGTACATCTGTGGGTTTCCTAAGCACATAGTAATTTAAATTTTGGTAGTTATAACTAACGGCAAAAAATTATACCCTCAGATTACCTGCTTTTAAAATACAGGCTGGGAGTTAGCTCAGAGTTCTATAAAGCTGTCAGATAACAGGTACTAAGAGAAAAGGTCCTCTGAAGTATCAAAGTAGAAGATAATGGATGCAGGTGAGGTGCAGTGATTCACGCCTGTAATCCTAGCACTTTGGGAGCCTAAGGTGGAGGATCGTTTGAGGCCAGAAGTCCGAGACCAGCCTGGGCACCCTGGTGAGATCCCATCTCTACCAAAATGTAAAAAATTAGTTGGGCATATTGGTGCAACCTCCTAGCTACCTGGGAGGCTAAAGTGGGAGGACTGCTTGAAACCAGGAGTTCAAGGTTGCAGTGAACTATGACCACGCCACTGCACTCCAGCCTGGGGGAAAAAATAAGACCCCATCTCAAAAAAAAACCACAGCTAGTGTGATTGACTCATACCTGCAATCCCAGCGCTTTGGAAAGGGGAGACAGGCAGATCACTTGAGCTCAGGAGTTCAAGACAGCCTGGGCAACATGGTGGAACCCTACCTCTACAAAACAACAAAAATTAGCCAGGTGTGGTGGCTGGTGCCTGTGGTCCCAGCTACTAAGGAGGCTGAGGCAGGAGGACCGCTTGAGCCTGGGAGATGGAGGTTGCAGTGAGCAGATATCCTGCCACTGCCCTCCAGCCTGGGTGACAGCAAGATCACGTCTTAAAAAAAAAACAAAAACAAAACCATGATGGTAATGGATGTATAAGAGGTAGAAAAGCCTACTGGAATATAATACTGGCCAGGCATAGTGGCTCACACCTGTAATCCCAGCACTTTGGGAGGACAAGGGCAGGTGGATCATCTGAGGTCAGGAGTTCGAGACCAGCCTGTCCAACATGGTGAAACCCCATCTCTACTAAAAATACAAAAATGAGCTGGGCGTGGTGGCAAGCACCTGTAATCCCAGCTACTCTGGAGGCTGAGGCATGAGAATCGTTTGAACCTGGGAGGTGGAGGTTGCAGTGGGCCCAGATTGTCCCATTTCACTCCAGCCTGGGCAATAGGGCAAAACTCCATCTCAAAAAACAAACCAACAAAAACTATTGGCTCTGGCCGGGCGCGGTGGCTCATACCTGTAATCCCAGCACTTTGGGAGGCCGAGGCGGGTGGATCACGAGGTCAAGAGATC